CTTGGAGTAAAGAACCAAACTCCAGCTTGAAGGGAGGTGTTAAAATGTTTATGCAATCATAATTAATCAAGGCCTATGCTGATGAGAATGATGCTGATCATCTACTGATTTCATCAGATTCTTGGGACCACTTTCTATCAGTTTTGGGACCACATTATCCTCTATTGTAACAGATTTTATTCTTTCAGTCTTTTACTCTCACGTGTCTAGTTATTAGCTTGCTCTCCAATCTAGTAGCTGTATATATATTGTACATCATTCATTGGAAATACGTTGAGTTTTCATCATTCTCCTTTACTTAGATTATACTCAATTTTATCTACGTATTACACCCAAAGTGTAGAGAAATGATGCTGTCTATTGTTTCATTACATGAGATGACCGCATATACAGGGGCATTGTCATACAACCCTCCCAAGTTTCGTAAAAGTACTACGTCTTTTCTATGTACTTCAATTAGAAAGAAAAAGTTTTATACTTGAATAAGCATTGTAAAGGAAATGCGTTTTTCATAAACCAAAAGAAGTAATGCAGGAAGCCAGAAACAGGTGGCGGATTGGCAGAGCTATTTGTTTCAGTAAATTGTTTGGGAAAATATTTACTGTCCTAGCCACAATGGTTTTACTTTCTTAATTGATAGATTGTTTGTACAGTTCTGAAGAAGATTATACAACCATCTACTGGTCTTTATGCAAATAATAATATTAGTAACAACTTAAAGAATTTTAATAGATTTTCAGAAATGGATGCTCAAATTGAAAAAAGGGAATTTCAGAATTGTATGAGCAATGCTACATTTCCAGATTTTTTTTTACAGAAATGCTACAGATACTCACATTGGGGGTGGGCCCCATTTTTTGAACATTATTTAATTCTCATGGGGCCCACACCCCGTGTGACAGTCTGGTAATGTTCTGATAATTTTTTTCTGTACACTTAGAATTTTTCGAATTGTATTTATTATTTAATATGTTTCAGAATTTCAGAAATGGGTGTTCAAATTAGAAAAAGGTTTTTCATGATTGGTTGAATGGATTTTCACGGTCGAAATTGTAGTATTAGGGGTATTCTGTAGCAATGATGTGTTCTCTAATGAGGAGTTTTTGTTGCTCTTACAAGTCTCACATTTTAAGGGGAAACGTTGATGCTTTCTTCTTCCATCTGTAGCTGCCAGCTACCTATATTTCTGTTTGTTTGAATGATGATCTACACTGCACCTTTAGTTATAACTCTAAGAACTCTCAAGGTTAATGCGTGGAATGTGACTATCAGAGCCCACCAATTGAGAAAAACCCTTCTTCAACCGCTTTCTCTTGTAGTGTCTCCTAACCTGATCAGGGGGCGTATTCCCAAAAAGGAGCGCTCTCGTAAGCTGACGGGAGAATGAGTCTTTCTTTCCCAGGCCTCCCTCAAAAGGAGTTGAAGACACCCCTCAAAAAATATTTGTACTTCATTATTGGCCCTTTCTTTCTTTATAATAACATAAAAGAGCACCACCATAGAGTAATTTTTGTGTATCCCATATCCATATAGAGCCAAAAAAAAGTCTCTCCTAGAAAAAATGTTTTTTTTCTATAAAATGTCATCTAGTAACTAAATTGTAATAACTCTATTACAACACAGAATGAAAAGGACAATATACAGTATGGGTACCATTGTTTTTAGAATATCAACCCTTGCATCTTCTTAGTGAGAACAATCCCAAATAAGGACTGGGACCACCATTAAGCGCCATGCAGGGTGCCCGAGGCTGAATCTAGACCAACAGCGACAAGCCAGTACGACTACATTAGGTTTTACTTAACTAGAATTCCTCCGAGTAATTGCTGCCTTTTTGTTGCACATGTCTCCTCGTAGAGAAAAGGATGGCATGGAAACTAATGGTATGATTACAGTCTAATCTTAATTGGACTCGGACTCCATTCTCTCCTTTATTCCATGCATGTCCTTGAGTAAAGTGTTTGCCTAAAGTACTCGCACACATAATCTCTGACCATCATATATGAATCCCTTATTTTCCTTTAAAGTAATTGGAGATAGGATAACAAGCCCTTCCCACATGTCAAGTTGAATAAATAAATGCAGCCTCTACCACAGAGATCAACCAGTGCCTTTGATTTTCGGCTGCTGTCCTAATCCGTGATCAG